TCTTAAGTAGCTTAGTTTTTTTTTTTTGCCTTGTCTTTGTTATGCTGAATGCTGTCGCCACGTGCCTGCTCCCTCGTATGATACGGTGCGGTTCTGCGTGCGTTTGTGCAACACTCGTGTCTTCAACATCAACAACAATCATCCACCACCTGGGGAATGTCCAAATGGATTCCATTTTTCACTTTTGTTTTGGTTTAATAAAAATATTACCAATGATCATGATATTATTATTATTATTATTATTATTATTTCAATTATGTTATTGAACCGTGTTTGATGCATTTTGGTCTGGTTTATATATATTGCATCATGATTTTGTGAACTGAACGATATCTGTGAATCTTCGTTTGTGTGTATACTGTGTATATATGAATTGATTCTGATAATCAGAAAGCTTAATCACTTCTGGTTGGGTGGCAGCTTGGAGCAACTTGTGACTCGGAGGACACGCCTACACTCAGAGTCTGAGGCTTCAGCAGACAACTCCGGCAAGAGGGCGGATGGGAGCCGGACCAGAACGGAGGTGCGGGACCTAAAGACACCTCAGAACTCTCCAGCACCTTCGACTCTCGCCAGCCCCATCAAGTCACCTCACTACCCAGATCCTGCCAAAGATGACAGTCATATAATGAAATGTAGGTTTATGAACATGAGCATTTTTTGGGGGGGAGGGGGGGATCAGTAATGTGATCATTTGATGCATATTCACCTTACAGGAAAGCTGAATGCTGTAAATGAATCAGTGTAAAAGAGGGATAGTGAGTATGATGAGGCTCTTATATATTTGATGCTATTCACTCTGAAAAGAATCTGATTTATTAACAGTTTAGGAATGTTTCAAAGGAATGTATTATTTGGTTATTTATCCGGATCAAATTGAAGGTATTTTGTCATCGGAAGATAGCGAAAGTTTCATAGGAATGCTTTATGATTGTCTCTTATATTTTAATTTATATTCTGTGGTACTGTAAAAGGCAGGTTAATGGAAAAACTTATAATTATGAATTTATAATCATTGTCTTTTATTAAATAATTTTTTTTTCTTGGATTTCAGCTACTCTTTCAGTACCAAAGTCTCCACGCACCCCTACTCTAGCTGGTTCAATGGGTCACAATGTGCAGCATCGCTTCATAAAGACGATCAAGTCTGCCACTTGTGGTTACTGTCATCACAAGTTTTCTATTTTAGGTGGTAAGTGTTACTACAGCTATAGATAACTCAAATATTATTTGGTTTATATAAGTATTAAGAATGTAGTAGATAGCACAATACATAGTAATTTGATCTTTCTATCAACAGGTCTGAAATGCAAGGAGTGCAGCTACAAATGTCATCGTGAATGTGAGCCAAAAGTGCCACCTTCCTGTGGATTGCCACAAGAGTTGCTCATATTATTTGCTGATGTAAGCAAGTATTCCTTTAAACATTATTTTATTTCTATTGTTGAATTTATTGATGTGTATGATATATATGTGTTGGAAGTGTAGAAATTACTAGTGTGGGAGTATATTGAAGATTATGCTTTTCAGAAATGAACACGATGTTGTGCATGCTCTTAAAGCTAAAATGCAATCTCAACACTTGTTGAAATGGGTGGAAGTTCTAATCTAAGAATGTCATGTGTGTTACTCAGTGATTTTTTTTTTCTGTGGCTGGCATCACAGCAATGTGTGCCAAGCTTTGAAGCACCCATATGTGCAGAGCCCAATATTGGAGCCAGGGAAGAAGCTCCTGTGCTCCTCCACTGACCCTGCCTCGAACACTAATGTCAAGGACCTCAGTGACAGCATGCTGTTGCTGCTGTAGGACTCCCCTCACTGTATCAGGTGGTCTTGCTGCAGTGTAATTCCTGGTGGAGTTGGCACCAGCTCTGAAGTCCCCCAGGAGATTTGAGGCAAGACCTACTCTGAAGGCCTTCTGTGAATCCTCCCTGCCAAGGGCATAATGGATGGCCCAGGGGTTGACAATGGCTTTGTCACAGAGGAAGAAGCCTTCCAGTACCAAATTTTGACCAGCGAGTAGCTTGCCATCACCAATGTCTACACTTTTCATGCTGATTCTGTAATCCATTACCACCAAAGGCTTATCCCTATCTATTGCAACAGTATGGTCTGTAGACAGTATGCTGACGGTGTTTTGGTCCTTCCACTGCAAGGCCAGCAACCCCATCTTGCTGCTACAGTAGTTAACATCACCCTTCTTCCTCACACTGAGGTCCTTGGACGTAAACTTTCTCTTCAACCAGGCTATTCATTCTGCATTCATCCTTTTTGATTGAAACATGTGAAAGATACTTGCTGATGTGTACCAGTTGTCCACAAACAACTGATATTCAAAACAAGGAAGGTGCCAGTCTCCATCAAATGAAGCACTGCTTTTATGGATAAGGACATGTTACCTTGAAAAAAAGGTCAACCCTTCTGCCATGCTAGTACCAGCACAGAGCTTATAGACCTCTAACCTGATCCTCATCATCTTGCTCGGGATAAAGGTCTTGGAAGCTAGTCACCTATGGAACTTCCACAGGGACTGGTCAATGGCGATGCCCTACCCTGGCATGAATGTCGACCAGAATGAGTTGTTGAGGGCGTTCATGACTAGTCCCATTCTCTGAGTGGAGCTCCTTCCTCCACATAGACAAAATGGAGGTGTCATCAACTGGTCAAACTGATCCTTGGTCATGACCTCAGCAATGAGTTCAAGATGCAAGATGCAATTGGGTGACCAATGGGAGATCCACCATTTCCATTATCACTCAGATCCCAAGGTATGCTAGGAGTTCCTGCATGGACATGGGTGGTGAAAAAGAAAAATAAGTAATTAATACATTCTGATTGCTCAATGCAAGAGATATCTCAAAATGAATACAAATGAAAAACACAATAACAAAAACTTACAATAACAAAACTTACTAGTTGATCTCCTTGACAAAGTGATCAAGAAAATTGTCAGTGAAAAAATAGCCTAGAATCTCCAAGAGTGTGTTTTACCAGGGTGACCTTGACTCCAGGACTAGCTTGGAAACTGAAAGACAAGTCTCATGGTCCCTGCAACAGCTTGGCAGCAATGTTGGAGAGGGACTTGTCACTGCCTAGCATGGTGTCAACCTGAGAGATGTAATCTAGTTTGTCTTCCAAACTGGATAACATTAAACTGAGGGTTGATGGCATCCTCTAAGATCAAAGGAGGTGGGAAATGAAGGGAAGATGGAGATCAGCGTGATAGATGGCGCTGAAGCACTTTGGCAGCTGGTACCTCTGAAGTCAGTGGCTAGGGGTCATCAACCTCAGTAGAGAAGGAGGAGGAGCATCTTCAAATGTTGGCAGAGCGAGGCATTGTGAAAGCAAGTATTGAATGTGGTTCAAGCACCTCTATATATATGAGAAAATTCCTGTACTGGAACCTGGTAGGATCAATGAGGTTAAAGTAACCTGGGTCACATGCCCCATAACATGACCAATCATGTTATAGCCTTATGTACTGGCATCAATTTATGTGATCTCAAGCACAACTATGTGGAAGTAAGATGACAGTTGTAAAGTGACATCGCTTCCCTTTATGAGGTCTGAAAAGTAAATATGGTGACTGTAATGTGGTCACAACACAAGCTTCATGATGTAAATTTTCATGATGTCACTTCATCTGCCTACCTACCTGACTCTGTCTTTCTATCTATCTATTTATCTCTGCTTATCTGGCTGCCCTGCACGCCATTGTATCTTTATCCCTTAGTCTGAGCTTTTGTTTTTGTTTTCATTTTGATTTTATCTCTCTCTTCTCTTCTCTTCTCTTCTCTTCTCTTCTCTTCTCTTCTCTTCTCTTCTCTTCTCTTCTCTTCTCTTCTCTTCTCTTCTCTTCTCTTCTCTTCTCTTCTCTTCTCTTCTCTTCTCTTCTCTTCTCTTCTCTTCTCTTCTCTTCTCTCACGTCATAATTCCCCAACTCCCTCCATCCTTATATGACATCAAATCAAGCTAAATAAGAGTAATAATAACTTCACATTTTCTTTATGTGACCTCATGATGTATCTCCTGGTTTTGTGTTCAATAAGAAATTGTTTTGGAAGTATCCATGCAGACAATAGATGTTACCGAGTCCAAACATTACATCTCATGCTTGCGACACCATGGCATACGGGCAAGAGCAATAGTGCCTTAAATGTGAGATGGCTGGAAATGGTCTATGTTCCAGGCCTGTCACTGGTTGGTCACCCATCATTAGTGGATTAATGTATATTTTGGCCCCAACAGACTTGGAAGAAGGTTGGTATGGATGGAAGTGGTGGACTGCACAGAGGAGGCACTCCCGGAGTCTCTCCTTCTCACCATCATCCAAATGACGTCTTCTCTCCTCTACGGGTCGGCCAGATGTCCAACTCTCAGCCGTCCATTAGCATACCATCCTTCCAGGTCAGTTTACTAAGTTGGAGTATTATGAAGTATATCAGTGCCCCCCCTTATCTTTGTTATTGTCCAAATAACTTGAAAAAAAATCTAAATCCTTACAAAGTCTACATGTTGTTACCTCTACCTTACTATTCCTCTCCCTCTCCCACCACATCTCCCCATTTCCGTCTCCCCCTCTGTCTCCCAGTCACTCTCCCTAGACAAATGATAGGTAGTGATTGGGTGTAACCGGTTTGTCTGTGTTGCAGGACCCCAATTCCAGTTCGAACACTTCCAGCTGCAACTCCTCAACCCCTTCCAGCCCAGCCCTCATCATTTCAGCCTCTCCTGCAAGACATGATGCATTCCATTTTCCAAGTAAGTATGACTTTCTTGGTAGTAATAATAATAATAATAATAATAATAATAATAATAATAATTTTTAAAAAAGTAAAAAAAAAAAAAAAAATCTTTTTATGCCAAATAAAGTATTAGATATTGATGTTAGTTAATGACGAAGTTCGAGGACTGACCATAACTGAATAACCTATGTTCCCTCAGCCACTCGAGGATTCCATTTCCCAGGTTAGTATCCTTGTTACCTGAGGAATTTGTAA